CCCCCCTCCCTCCAACCTCTCTCCCTCCATGGCGCCTCCTCCCCTTGAGCTTGGCTCACTTAGGGCAGGTGTGGGATGTGCTCGCTCGCACGCCGCTCTTCAGCTTGAGGGGTCACGACGGGCGAGTCTTCTCCGCCTGCTGGATCCCCGCGGGGAAGCTCGGAGACAGCTGGGATCGAGCCCAGCTGGAAGACAGCTGGGGAGATCCTCTCTTAGTGACCGGTTCTGACGATCAGTCAGCAAGGATATGGGAGGTAAGAAAAGAGCAGGGAAAGAAGAGAATACAGGAGAAGAGAAGAGAAGAGAAGGAAGGAAAGGAAAGGAAGGGAAGAAGCGAAGGAGAGCAGGGAGAGGAGCAGGGAGGGAGGGAAGGGATAGCAGGGTTTTTGCAAGTGACAAGCCGGCACTGGGAAAGGAACGACAGGACTGACGTGAATCAGGTGGAGAAGTGCTGGGAAGGAGGACCACCGTCTAAGAGCGAGACAAGCGAGACGAAGATGGCGATAGTGATGAAGCAGAGGAAGCAGACGTGGAAGAACGAGAAGAAGCTCAAGGCCAAGGGTGCTGAAGCTCCTCAAACGACCTCAGGCGAGACGGGGGGGGAGAAGGAGGAGAAGACAACGAAGAAAAAGAAGGAGGAGGAGAAACGATCGACGAAGGAGGATGGGGAAGGGGATGCGAGGTCCGCTTCCATGGATAGGGAGGGTATCATTTCAAAGGGATCTCGGAGCAAGAAGATCGAGTCTCTGCTCAGCACTCAAGCGAAGGCTGCGAACTTAGCGGCTGAGCAGCGATGGGTGGGAGGTAAGGAAGAAGTGGAAGGATAAGGCAGGAGAGAAACTGACAGGAGAGCAGCAACCACTCAACTCGTCGATGACCTGCTCGCCATCCCATGTCCCGGAGAAGAAAATCTTCTTCCCCCTCCTCCCTCTCCTCCCCGGCCCTTCAAGTTCGACGCCTCCCAGACAGAGCACGAGCTGACCCGCCTGCTCATCTCGACGGCTCGTCAGGTCCTCTCGTCCTCTTGCCTCCTCCACACTCGTTCTCAAGCCTCGCAGCATGCGGCGGCTGGCGAGCACAACAAGAGCGCGTGCTTGGGTCTCTTCCGCGGAGACATAGCAGAAGCGCTGGTGAGGATCTGCGGCTGCTGCTCGTCTCAGAGCTGCTCACCAAGTGGCAGGCGACGGCGGCAGAGCGCGGCGCACTCACAAGCGAGCTTGTGTCTCTCGCTCCCCTGGCTGGGCATGACGTCTGGTCTGCTGCCTCCCGACTGCTCGCCAAGCAGGCAGCCTTTCCCTTCCTCCTCCTCCTCCCTGACTCTCAGCAGCTCGAGGCCCAGCAGCTGCCCCACCAGGCTGTCGCCCATCTGCTCGCGTGCAATCAGGTCGCTCGGGAGGGAGGGCGATGCGCTGCTTGGAGCAGCAAAGCACCGGGAGGGTTGAAGGGGAGGAGGGAGGAGGGCGGGAGGGCAGGGTAGAGGAGCGGTGGAGAGTGGAGGCTGTGACGAGACGAGCAGGTGGAGGATGCGGTCGCTGTTTACCGCCGAGCTGGCATGTACCGAGATGCGATCGCTCTTGCTCGCTGTCGCTTCTCCTCCTCCCAGCTTGTTCTCCAGCAGCTCTGGTCCGACTGGGCTCAAGCCTTGCAAGCTGCTCATAGGCCAATCTACGCGGCGCAGGTGAGGAGGAGAAGGGGAAGGAGAGTCTGTGTTGAGCTGCTTGCAGTGCTTTCTACGGGCCGGGAGGGCATCGGAGGCGATCGCTGTGCTCGAGCAAGGGGGGGGACCGCGCGGGTCTGAGCCCAGCATGCTCCTGGCTGCTCACAAGCTGTCGGAGAAGTTCGGGGCGAGGAGCGAGGTGAGTCGCTGCTTGCCCTCGAGCGACGATGACGTGGCTGGGAAGGCTCGGACGCTGCGATGTGCGGGGCTGCTGTGGGAAGGTGATGCTCGCATGGCTTCCTTGCTCGGCATGACGTGGGTGGCAGTCGGGATGCTGGAGGAGGCGGGCGAGGTGTCATGCTCTCTTGCCGGCTGCTCATCCCTTCGACTTCTCGTCGCGCTCGAGTTGCGAGTTATGCCGCAGCCTCTCGCAGAGCTCTCCGTCCTCCACCGCCTTCGCCTTCTCCTCCCCCACCCCTCAGACCAGCTCGTGCGGCTGGCTGAGGGCGGTTGGGGGGGAAGCGGATGCGAGGAAGAGAACAACGGGGTGCTTGCTGGGATCCTACTGGAGGCTGCGACGAGCTTGGACGGGGGAGAAGGGGAGGAGGGGCGAAACAGGAGAGAACGAGCTGAGAGGCTGCTGGAGGACGTGCAGCGAGGCGAGTGGGTTCGCAGCCTCAGGGGGGGTATGGAGGAAATTTTGACGCGCAGGCAGCAGGCCCGCGCAGCCAGAAGCTTCCTGCTCGCCGTCCTGCTGGGGTTCTGCGGGAAGAGGGAGAAGGCTGGGCAAGAGCTCGCCGTCGCCCTCTCGCAGCTGTTCGCTCTCAAGGACTACATGGCTGCCGCCGAGCTCGCAGTCGCGCTGCTGCCCGACGACTGTGGTGGTCTCGAGCGCATGGGAGGAGAGGAAGAGGAAGGCGACGCGAAACCGATGAGGGAAAGAGAGGGACGGGAGGGCAAAGTTCTTCAAGTCCTGCAAGCTTTCCGCTGGTTCGGTGAAGTTTATATGGCTTGCAACGGGACGGGGAGGAAGGAGGTGGGGAAGGAGCGTCAGAGGTTGGACCGGCTGCAGGAGATGAGGGCGAAGCTTGTGGGAACAAGCAGACACAACCAAGTCGAACAAGCGCTCTCATCCTTGCCTTCTGTGGTTACCTGGCTCCTTCCTCCTCCTCGTTGCATCAGCTTCTCCGATCCTGAAAGCATCATCCAAGCTCCTGCCCCGAGCATGTGAGTCGCTTGCTACTCCTCGCGTCCCTCACGCGCCTGCAGATGCTCTCAGCTCCTCGCGGATCTGGACCAGCTGAATGTCGAAGAGAGAACCCTCCAATAATTAGACTTGACAGCGAGTGAAAGGCTGGCATCTCCTCTCCTCTCCTCTCCTCCTCCTGCTCGCTGGGAGTCCTGCTAAGTCTTCTACACAACCGTGAACTTCTTTAACCTTTAATCGACAAAGGACTCGGGTCATTGGTACCCACCCATACTTTGATAGGTTTCACCCTTCCAATGGGGCTGTCTGAGGGTCTTAAAAAAAACTGAGAAGTTTGTGGTCGCAGTCACGGGTTGTGGTTTGCGCCTCTGCCAAGTTCCCGCCATTACAAAGTTTGTGGTTCGGTAATGCACTGAAACGATGGTAATGAAAAAGTGTAGCGACTGCCTGCTCTCTAACATGGTTTCGCTAGACTAGCTAGACTACAAAGAGAAAACGAAATACAATGACCGGACTAATGACCGGCCCTCACTAATAATAAGGCGTTCTAAGCCCTCATCCCCGCTCGTTTCCATCTCAACGGCCAAGTAGCTGCCAAGTAGTGCGCGGCATGTTCAGCGGGCATGAGGCATCGCTGGATGGGCATAGAGGGCACAACAACATCAGAGAGTGGAGGACAGAAGCCTTCGGTCACGACAAGCTCAAGCTCCTCAACAGGCTGCCCTCCCCCCTCTTCCCGCCTTGCTGTCTCTCCTCCCTTGCTGTCTCCCTCCTCTATTCTCTGCCCCGTCCTTCAGTGACGTTGGATGCCAGCAGGCAGCCCCACAAGCCAGACGTGGGCAGGGAGATCAGAATCGCAGCCAAGGCAGGAGACCACGCGAGGATTGAGGCCCTGGCCTCCAAGGGAGACATCAACGAGGTACGATGTCGGAGAAGCATCGCCCTGTCACAAGACTCTCGCAGACGGGGGGGTCGCATGGACACACAGCGCTTCACTACGCAGCGAGATTCGGGCATGTGCGAGGTGAGTGAGCGAGCAAGTGCTTGAGACGGTCTTGACTCGGCGAGCAGCCATGCAGTCGCTGCTGCGGCTTAAGGCTGATCCCAATGCTCGCAACGACGACGGCAGAACAGCTCTGCACTGGTGAGAGAGGTGACGGCAGCGGGAAGGAGGTGAGACGCTGTCATAGGGCGGCAGCGAACGGGACGGCAGCTGCTTGTGAGCTGCTCCTGTCTCATAAGGGAGACCCGAGGATTCGAAACAAGGAAAGTCACCCAGGGAGCGAGTCGCATCTGACTGACATGGCAGGACGGCATGACGCCCCTCGAGCTTGCTGTGCACTTCAACAACGCCCAGGCCATCGCGATACTGAGAAACTTCTCGCAAACGGTAGCAGAGGCATGTAGGGCGTAATGGCTGAGTGATGGCGCCAGCAAGAGGACGACGACGATGTCTGCGCAGAAAGAGTTGGAGTTTGGGGAGGGCGAAACATTCCGCAGGTCGGAGGAGGAGGAGGAGGGGGAGGAAGAGGAGGAGGAGGAGGAGGACTACAGAGTCACAGGGGTGACAGGCTCCCGCTGGTTCGCGGCATAATCGTCACCTTGGCGCTGGGGAAGTTTCGATCCAACGCGTTGGCGTTTGGCACGAGTCTTGGGCTCACTACGAGTGAGTCTTAACCTCCTCCTCCTCGTCTTCCTTCTCCTCCTCCTCCTCCACCCCCTCTCCCTTCCTGCCTTTCCTGCTTTCCCCCTTGCCTGGTCCTGCTCGCTCAACCGGATTGACCGTCGACCTCCAGCACCATCATAACACCGAAGGACCGTCGGCATCGGCGAAACGAAGGAGAGAAGCATTACAACCATGGCAGGTGAGGATCGAGGGTGCAGGTAGAAGCAGGAGTAGCGCAAGGAGGAGCGGGGGAGAGCGCTCAGGGAAATGGGAGAGGCAGGAGGGAACAGTGAAGAAGGATGTCTCTGATGCTCAGGCGTGCAGGCCGTTGTCTGTCACGTCGCCCAAGAAAGGGAAATGACGAGCAGGTGCACAGGGGTGAAGCAGAGGTGAAGCAGGAGACGGGGAGGGAAGAGACAAAGATTCTAAATGTCTATGTGTGTACATCTACTCCATCCTTGCCTTCGCCCTCACGCCAACTTGCTCACATGTTCGTATGGAATGTTGCGGGTACTGCCATCTTCCAGTCTCACCCTGAGAGAAACTATCAGTCACGCCCCCTCTTTGCGTCCCTTCACTCACACAGCACTGAACTTGTCCTCCTCCAGCGCCTTGAGCACTCCAACTTGACCTCGGAACTTGCCGTTGACCACAAGGACCTGGCACCTTGTCAGCGGCCTCTCCCTATTCCCTGCCATCCTACCTCGCCCCCGAAGTTTGGCAACACGGTCTCGAGGTGCTCCTGGTCGAGCTTGAGCACGTGCCCCGACTCATTCATCTTCACTTCTCCAACGAACTTGCCATGAACCATCTGCGCACCCGTCACTGTCATCCAAAGGTCTCAGCTGAGGTTTCAGCTGGGAAGCACCTGGACTACACCCTTCTGCTTGTAGTACTTGCCATCCGCGAGCTTCTTGTTCAAGACCTTCACAACGATCCCCCGATGCAGCCAGTCCTCATGCTCGCATCGTTGGCTCTCTTCCTCCTGCGACGCCTTGTCACATCCATGTAGCTTGTTATTGCACGCACCTGTTGCTTCGCCTTCTTCAGGGCTTCCTCCTCTTTCTGCCGCTTCTCCTTCAACATGATCTCCTCCACAGCTGTCAGCTTCCGTTTCTGTCCCGCTGAGCTCGATGACGCACCACCACCCACGTCCTTGGTCGTCGACGCTCTGGTGTCCTTGTCCTCGTCCTCGTCGAAGGCCTTTTGCGTTGTGATGCTACTTTTGCTGCTAGCTGCTCCCATCAGGCTACCGAGCGAGATAACGTCTCCTTCCTCTCGCTTCAGCTCACAGTCTGCTTCCGTCACCGCCTTGGCGCCGGAGTCGATGCCTTTCTTCTGCAGAGCCTTCTGAGCCTCCTTGATCTGTCTCTCCACCATCTTCTGCGCTCGCTCGTGGTCGTCGAGGTCCATCTTCTCCTTCTTTGCGAGCGCCTCCTGCCGCCGTATCTTCTCGGGGTCTCTGTTGACGTAGCGCACGTACCACTTGCCCTCCTCGTCCTCGTCGACTTCAGCCTTCCCCTCTCGCCCGAGGTACTTGACAAACTCAGTGAGACTGACCCATCTTGTCGCGTTAAGATGCACGTGATGGCGATCGGCGATCACTTCCATCCAGATGGAATTTGCTTTTGTGCGGACATGTTCGCCTTTCCTTCGGAGGACCTCCATGAAAGCATCTTCGAACTCTCTACTGTAGTATTCAATGAACGAGCCTGGAGACTCCGAGAACACCCGCACTTGTCGAAGATGCGACTCGGACATGGTATGGCATTTGTAGCCATTCTCATCTCGACAAGCTTTCTGACAGAGCTGGCAGTACCATCGCAACTTCGTCAAGCCCTTGGCTTTGATGCGATTGCTGATCGCCTTGGGCGTCAAGAAGCCATCGCTCTTTCCCATTTTCCTGCTACAAGTTGTGAGAGAGCAATCTACAATAAAAACAGATCTATGCATCAGTTGCATTTCCCTGTCTTCTCATCTTCTTATCTCCTCATCTTCTTATCTCCTCATCTTCTTTTCTTCTCATCTCCTCATCTCCTCATCTTCTTTTCTTCTCATCTTCTCATCTTCTCATCTTCTCATCTTCTCATCTCCTCATCTTCTCATCTTCTCATCTTCTCATCTTCTCATCTTCTCATCTTCTCATCTTCTCATCTTCTCATCTTCTCATCTCCTCATCTCCTCATCTTCTCATCTTCTCATCTTCTCATCTTCTCATCTTCTCATCTCCTCATCTTGTTATCTTCTCATCTTCCCTCCCTCTCTCCCCTTCTCCTTTCCGGGCCAGCATCGCAGCTCCACAGCTGCTTCATGGTGTTGTTGAGTAAAACTATTCATCAATTTTAATGAGTGGTGCATGGCATGGCGATATGGCAGCAAGCGTACGGAGCGACTCCTCCTCCTCCTCCTCCTCCTCCTCCTCTCACTCACCCGATGCTCGCCTCATCTTCCTGATGCTCCCTCTCTCCCTCCTCCCCTTCCACCACAGCGCTCCCTTGCCCTTCCCGCCCCCCTGACCCTGACCCTCGCGTCCAGACGGGCTCAGGTACGGGAAGCGATCCGGCATGCATGGAGCGGGTACATGAAGTATGGGAGGCTGGGGGATGACCTGAAGCCTGTGTCTCGGGGGGTGGACAACTGGATGAACGCGAGGCTGACGCTCTTCGACTCTCTCGACACCTTGTACCTCTCGGGCTGCCAGGACCTGTTTCACGAGGCGGCGCAGCAAGTGCTCGCAGGGGGAGTGCCTGGGGACGCCATCTTTCCGAGCAAGGTGTTCGAGTATCACATCAGGATCGTGGGAGGTCTTCTCAGCGTTCACTCCCTCACCGGCGATGCTCGATTCCTAGACTTGGCGAGCCGAGCAGCAGACAACGTCCTGGAGGCGATGCAGAACCCATCGGGCCTGCCGTACATGCACTTCCGCTTCGTCGATCGGAAGCGACGGCCGGTGACGTGGCTGGTGAGCAGGACGATGGACTTCATCCGGGCCTCCTACGACTCGGCCATATGGAGAAACTCCTTGGTGGGCATCGGGTCCATGGGCCCGGAGCTCCGCTACTTGACCAGAGAGACGGGAGCGCGGCGGTACGAGGAGGCTGCCGACCGAGTGCTCGCCGAGATTCATGCGGCATGGAAGAAGTTGGGGGGCAGGAACAGCTCGAAGCCTCTGCCGCTATGGTGGGATACTCCTCCCCGACTCTCCCGCTCCTACCGCCCCTTGTTCAATCAGCTGGAAGGCAGCGAGGCGACGCTCGGGAGCGGAGGGGATTCCTTCTTCGAGTACTTGCTGAAAGAGCAGCTGCTGCAGAGCTCGTCGCGCTCTCAGCTGGTCGACATGTACGAGTGGCTCACCTCTCGCCTCCTTGACGGACATGCCAACCAGCTGATCCGCCGCGTGCATGGCGTTGACTTCCTCGTCAACCGCCGCTGCGACTATGAGCACCTCACTTGCTTTGTTCCTGGAATGCTCGCGCTGGGAGCCTCTCAACTCAAGGGCAACAGGAGCTCTCAGCTGAGCCTGGCGAGGCGGCTCATGGAGTCCTGTATCTACCTCTATCAAGCTTCTCCTACTGGCCTCGCGCCTGACACTGGGAGCGTGTGCGGTGATCAGTTCACGGCGAACTCACCCGAGTACCTCCTCCGCCCTGAGACCGTCGAGAGTCTGTTCATCCTCTTCCGAGTCACCAAGGACGGGAGATACCGCGAGATCGCCTGGGAAATCTTTCGCAGCATCGAGAAATACTGCAAAGTTGAGTCCGGAGGCTACTCGGGCCTTGTGAACGTCAACGACGTGAATGGGTCCAAGAATGACAATATGCCTTCCTACTTCATTGCAGAGACTCTCAAGTACTTGTATCTGATCTTCGACGATGCTGCTGTGTCTTTGGATGACTTTGTCTTCACGACGGAAGCACACCCCCTAGCAAGGTACAACCGTTGCGACCGACAAGGAGTCAGCAGATATCACAGCGAGTGCGTGAGCTCTTCAATCGACTTGTTCCTCCTGTCACCCGAAAACTTGATGCTCTTGTTGCTGCTGCTGACTTGTCTGCATCGTTGCCGATGTGTCAGTCTTGCCTGGCTCAAGAGGGCGCTGGTTCAGAGGATACGGTCGTTCTTGAAGCGGAGGAGGCTGGGGAGGCATCACATGGTCTAAATAAATGAGCGAGAGAACTCCAGCGGTTTACTAGCAACACGACGATGAGAACATGTCGTATAGAACATGTACGTATAGAACATGTACGTATAGAACATGTACGTATAGAACATGTATGTGTAGAACATGTACGTATAGAACATGTATGTATAGAACATGTACGTATACAGTTACTGGTTACACGTTACACGTTAGCACTTATGCTTGCTCCTATCTCTCACCTGAATTGACTGCTAATAGAGTAGGAGGTGTAAGAGTGTACATGACAGATAGAGTAGGAGGTGTAAGAGTACATGACAGATAGAGTAGGAGGTGTAAGAGTACATGACAGATACAGTAGGAGGTGTAAGAGTACATGACAGATACAGTAGGAGGTGTAAGAGTACATGACAGATAGAGTAGGAGGTGTAAGAGTACATGACAGATACAGTAGGAGGTGTAAGAGTATACATGACAGATAGAGTAGGAGGTGTAAGAGTACATGACAGATACAGTAGGAGGTGTAAAAGTATACATGAGAGATACAGTAGGAGGTGTAAGAGTACATGACAGATACAGTAGGAGGTGTAAGAGTATACATGACAGATAGAGTAGGAGGTGTAAGAGTACATGACAGATACAGTAGGAGGTGTAAGAGTATACATGACAGATAGAGTAGGAGGTGTAAGAGTACATGAGAGATAGAGTAGGAGGTGTAAGAGTATACATGACAGATAGAGTAGGAGGTGTAAGAGTACATGAGAGATAGAGTAGGAGGTGTAAGAGTATACATGACAGATAGAGTAGGAGGTGTAAGAGTACATGACAGATACAGTAGGAGGTGTAAGAGTACATGACAGATAGAGTAGGAGGTGTAAGAGTATACATGAGAGATACAGTAGGAGGTGTAAGAGTACATGAGAGATACAGTAGGAGGTGTAAGAGTATACATGACAGGTAGAGTAGGAGGTGTAAGAGTACATGAGAGATACAGTAGGAGGTGTAAGAGTATACATGACAGATACAGTAGGAGGTGTAAGAGTATACATGAGAGATACAGTAGGAGGTGTAAGAGTACATGACAGATACAGTAGGAGGTGTAAGAGTATACATGAGAGATACAGTAGGAGGTGTAAGAGTACATGAGAGATACAGTAGGAGGTGTAAGAGTATACATGAGAGATACAGTAGGAGGTGTAAGAGTACATGACAGATAGAGTAGGAGGTGTAAGAGTATACATGAGAGATAGAGTAGGAGGTGTAAGAGTACATGACAGATAGAGTAGGAGGTGTAAGAGTATACATGAGAGATACAGTAGGAGGTGTAAGAGTACATGACAGATAGAGTAGGAGGTGTAAGAGTATACATGAGAGATACAGTAGGAGGTGTAAGAGTACATGTCAGACACAGTAGGATAGCTAGCTATGGGCAGCAGGGTGCAAGCGCGGCATAGCAGGTTGAAGCTTGTCCGTGATTGCGCCTCAGGACCTACTAGACAGACCTTTGCCTGCTGACTTTATTTCCGGTGAAGGGGAAGAGGAGAGAGAGAGAGAGAGAGAGAGTGA